CAAGCACTGAGCCCTGCGGGACTCCGCTTTTCACTATCGCTTCTCTCGATTTCGAGTTTCCAATTGCGACAGCTTATACTTTATCTTTAAGGAAGTTGTGGGTCCACCTCAACAGGCTTCCTCCTACCCCAACAGCCTCAGCTTTCTAAAAAGCACCCCATGGTACACTTTTTCAAAAGCTTTAGCAAAGTCCAGGTATATCACGTCCACGCCAGCTCCCTCTTCCATCTGGGCCACTAGAAGGTGATGGTGCTCCAGTAACTGTGACAAACAGGAACGATTACGCCGCAAGCCATGATGTCCGTTATTAAACAGGTGACGTGACCTCGATGTTCGTTTGAACCAGATGTCACGATAAACGCTTCGTAGAATAATAATAATATTAATAATAGTAGCTCTGATACACTTTTTGCCGATCCAAACTGGGTCAGGGTGACCCATCCAAGAGAAAAAGGTCTCATGCTCTTGCAGCCTCTCACTGCAATATATGCGAGTAAGTGATGACTCGCTGGAACGAGTGCAATGTAACAGAGCACTTGAAAGTCAGAAAATTCCATAAAAAATTTTCACTTGCCAACTTCTTAAATAATTTTTTCTAAAACAGTTAAAATGCAATTCATTGCAGTGAGTGTTCTAAAAACTCGCGGCTTTTGGACTGCATATCCACTCAATTCGTGACTCACTCCTCCTTGTGAACGAACAGAATTAGTCACGCGGCTGAAGGGTTAACAGCATCGCATAAATGATCTAATTTACGCGTCCTCATATTTTTCTTAACATTTCTTCTGTTCATTCACTTTGCTTCTTAGGCTCGCTTAAGCAGCTATTTGGGAATGTATTGCTTTGTTTTCATTTTTCAGTAACCATTGAAATTTTAATTAAATTAATTTATTGATGACATTAAAATATTAAAATATTGAAAATAATAAATCTATAAATTGAAATAAACTATATCATTTTGACTAAATATTTATTATCGATATAAAACCAACATGTGTGAACGTCATGTTATATTCTTGATTCTATCGCAATGGCGACAGTTTCCGCATGCCATGTTACCGATATCGTGGGCTAATTAACGGACCATTATAAAGCACACGTGCATGCAGCACGTGGATATTACATGACTAGGAAATTCAGGGTCACATCTTTTTTTGCAATACATCAAAATTGATGGAAATATTTTTTCAGCTCATTAAAACTCAAATGGGTCCTGGAAATTTTGCAAGAAGGGTTTCATTTCGCTTCTTTGGGTTGTGACAACTCTAATAGTATTGTGTCGCTAATAATAATTGTGGCACTTGCGGCTGAAATAAAGTGTTTGCCTTTCTGCTGTAAACAAGTATGAAAAAATTGTACTTCTTTCTTTTTTAGTAAAATCAGTTCGTAAGAAAGAGCCAAGTAAATTTAGTGTTACTGTAAGGTACTTTTGGTACCTTACAGTAACTACAGTACTTTTACAGTACAGGACAGTTTTTTAAGAGTACTTACAGTACTTTTTAGATAGTGTTGATGTAAGGTACTTTTACGTGTTATATAAATGTGTATAGTACGCCCTAATACGTAATAATGTCGCTTGTTTGCTTGAATCGCAAATTCACCATAGACTTAGAAGTTAAGAAAACTTGACAAAAATTCATACTGTCTTTAAAGAAAACGTTTCGGAGTCCAGCTCCATCGTCAGTTTGAAAATTCTAGAACACAGATTTATCAGTAATTAGAATTTTAGTAATTAATTGTTCTAGAATTTTCAAACTGACGATGTAGCTGGACTCTGAAACGTTTTCTTTAAAGATAGTGTGAATTTTTATGGAGTTTTCTTTGCTTCCATGTCTAGATTCTAGACTTAGATTCTTAAATTCTAGAACAATTAATTACTAAAATTCTAATTACTGATATATCTGCGTTCTAGAATTTTCAAACTGACGATGGAGCTGGACTCCGAAACGCTTTCTTTAATGATAGTACGGAATTTAGTGAGTTTTCTTTGCTTTAAGTTTTTAGTGTCGTTAATGCATCCAGGCACAAAATAATCTACAAAATAGGTGCTAACAACGATTGTTAATAAAGCGAACTTGTTGAATCATTTTCTGGGTGAATCATGAGAGAAACTGTAGTTTTATTCCTCCCTAATATTCCAAACCTTGGACGAATGGACGATATGGTTTGGTGTGGAGTCTTTCTATTCATATTTGATTTAAATGTGCATTTTGTGGAGGTTTATTTCCTGACTCGTAATGCATAACTTCACGTATATTTTTCTAATACTCGTACAGTGATATAATCCATTCAGTTAATTCTTCCAAAATATTGTCTGTTTCCTAATAGTTTTTTATGATTTTAATTTTGATGATAACTTAACTAATTTATCGTAAATTATGTGAAAGTTTGTTTACGTGTTAAGTTGCCTGGTACCACATATATTAAAACTCGTATCCATATTACCTATCACGTCTGAATATTACCGGTTGCTGATAGTTTACTTTTTAGAGTGGAAATATCGAGCTGCTGAAAAGGGGGAGAGAAGAAGGTTATTAGAATGGATTCAGTATGATGGAATTGGGGTCGACGGATTTATTATTCAGGATGACCGCATTAATTCAGGATGACCGCATTCTGAATTTCAAGAATAAGTAATCTTGAGGGCGACAAGGAATAGCACAAACTTGGGAACGAGGCCAGAAAAAATCGGTTAAATCACTGTCTACACACAGTTTTGAACTGTTATTTATAAAAGTTCTGTAACACCGTTATATATTTTCTGAAATATTAAGAATATTTATCCCATGAAATTCACTGCAGAACCACAAGGGCGAGGCTTAAAAAATGTTCAAACGAATAAACCCGTCTTCGTAAATTATCCAAAACAAATTTCCTGATTCATATTCTAAAAAATTCTTCTCTAATATACCATTCGAAGATTCCAATTTTAAATTTTTTATTTTTTACATTTTGGATAATATGATCGTTATGAACACATGCATGGACAAAACTTTGATAGATCATTTTACATTTTCATACAATCATGTCTCGCAAACTGCATCTAATTATTCATTGAGTCCCTTCACTGATTAGATTTCGAATTTTGAAATGTTGCATTAATGTTGAAGCCTCCAGATCTAATCCGACTAATGAACTCTAAATTACCTGGGCAGTGTTTTGCATGAAGTTTATTCACGATTTTTTTCGTATAATATTTCTGTACTAAAAGATATAAAAAATGCTTAGTTTTATTATTCTAAAATGCGGCTTAGTGACCATCAACTATTTAAATATCTGTAAATAAGATGGTTTTCATTTACTTGAAGTGCGTTAAATTGCATTTTTTCAACACATTGACTGCGATCAAACGCATCTTATAAATGACTGTTATCATACATGACGGTAATCTTGCATGACGGTTATCATCTGCGTTAGTTTTCAAGTACGGCGGTTTTCCTGCGTCATGGTTAGCATGCCTGATGGTTTTACAGTTGCCTTATCAGATTAACAAAAACATTTTTCAATATGCAAAATGAGATTTGTAGGATTCCCGATTCCGAAATGAATCTAATCGGTATGATAAAATAGGCCATTAATAATTATGGTAATCACTAATCGGTTTGATTACGTAATATTATTCTTTTTCTGCGACATTCCAGGTAATAATTTCTACCAACGTCGCCGGTGATTAAAAGCCATCATTGCCGTCATTGCGCTTCAAGCGCCTGCTGTTTGCCGCAGTAACGCCCTGCGGAGAAAGGCAGCCCGACTTCGAACATTTCATTGCCAAACTCTAGGCAGTCCCGAGCAGGGGCCATACTTTCAAAACTCGCTAAGCCAACGTAAGAACTAATGCTCTATTTTGCTTGAAAGGCCGTCAATGATTGGCTGATGAACTTACGATCTCATAACTTTTCTTGAAAGTATAGGTCCAGGTCTTTTGAGAGCGCTGTTCAGCGCCTCCACGATGCCTAACCTCAAGCGGTGTGGCGACATCGCGAGGTAGCCAGCAGACCGGCCATCTGCATGCCAAGAAGCTACGGATGGTAACCGTTTAAACAGCGTGGGGCTGCGGATGGTAACCGTTTAAACAGCGTGGGGCTGCGGAGTGTAACCGTTTACACAGCGTGGGGCTGCGGATGGTAACCGTTTAAACAGCGTGGGGCTGCGGAGGGTAACCGTTTAAACAGCGTGGGGCTGCGGAGGGTAACCGTTTAAACAGCGTGGGGCTGCGGAGGGTAACCGTTTACACAGCTTGGCTGCCACACTAAATTCGTTCCAATTTGTTCGTTCAAAATCATCCTAGGTGCAAAAATACTATTAATGTAAATACCGTAATAAATAAATAAATTTGAGGGGAAATAACAAGCTTTTAGGGAGTCCACTAATATATTCAACTTTACAAAAATATTCACTGCTGTACAGCAAATATTGATAAATTATCAATCCACGAATAGTCACATCCACTTTCACCTATCTTATTAATTCAAGGGGGAAATATCAAAAATTGAGAATAATTGACTCACATTTTCGTAACTAAATGAATATAATCCTCAGAAATATTCTCTTGTTGATATATAGATACAAGACAGTGGATCTATCAATGAATCAAAGATTGTATAATTTTATGAAGTGAGAATATTTATATAATTTTAAGATCCAACATTTTCCCGCATTAGGTTTTAGTTCAATATATTGAGCATTATTGTCATGGAGGGGCAATAACTACATATGTACAATTACTGTGATTTTGATGAGAATAAAAACTTAACAGAGTCCCACGTTAGAATTTTTCTTGGTCATTATTAACTCGTGTGTGATCACCAATTTAATAATTTACAATCGGTAATAAATTAATAAGGACTTGCTGTCCAAAAAGTGACACTCTTTATGCACGTATCATTAATACGCCCTTATCTCAAGCCAAACAGAATATAGATGGCCCACGCGCTGTCTCTTATACACATCTAGATGTGTATAAGAGACATCAGTACAAGCAAAACAAACGGGAACGTGAATGACCTTATCTGTGATATCAGTGAGCTCAGCCTCTCTGCAAAAATACATATGCTATTACCCTACCGAGTAGCAGAATCACACAGAGCTTTCCTTGTTATCTGTTTTTCTATGGTGACAAGAATTAGCAACAGGTGATGCCTCCTCATGGCTGCTTGATTGGCACATGTAATCTTCTCTGAACGGCGGCGGCGGGTCAGGTAAGTTGTGCAACAGATCCTGTTGACTCAGTCTCATCTGCAGCTGAGACTGCGACTGTTGCCCGCCACGCCAGTCGTTGTAACGACTAGCCTGGCGTCAGAAAATGGAGGAGAATTAGGCCAGAAAACGTTATTTTGGGTACTAAATCATGTGATATTTTATTGAGTGAGATTCGCTTATCACTCGCAATATTTCAGGCGCCAATGATATCACAATTATTTTACAATAATAATTATATAATTGGTACACAATTTAACTCAACACAAACTGAGTAGAATTGTTCATGCTGTGATATAGGATTTACCATTGCAGTCAATGCATATCAACCGTTATCCTGCCGTTCTATAATTGCGATTAACACGACGTAACTTTTATTATTGAATAGAGAAAAATACCGAGTAGCTATCCAGTTACCTGATTTATTTTATGTGAATAATTTTTTACTTAAATTCTATGCTTGATTACCTAATTTATACACTTAAATGAATTTCAAGTAGGCGATGATTCAGAAAGTTAATCACAGTAATGATTTTTTATTGCCTTTGAACGAATATATTAAGAAATATGAGTTAAATTAACTTGTTTTATAATCAGAATAGAAGAATTTCTGTGCTGAAGCCTATTCAGCATTTATTAACTTATTTCACTCGAGATATTCCGTATTGAAGTTATTCCAGAAGACCTTCACAATAGAGCTCATCATTGATTGTGAATTAATGGTCGAGCTTATTCGTCATTTAATAGGAAAATAATAACGGATTGATGACTGATATTTATAATTGGTACTTGCCTGATGTCGGGCGTTGATCCTTTGAGAAATTTCCGGCTCGTTCCTGCCTCTCTGGAAGTCGAAACTTTCGCACGTTTGTTCTGAGGTAATTTGTTGTTTTTGACCAGCTTGATGATGACAATAGTGCTGGGGTTTATTCATTGCACTATTAATTGGTGAGCGATACGTCTGCTGTTGAAACTTGCCCGCTTGGCTGGACCCTGGTCGAGGTAAAGTAGATGAACAATAAAGATCATTTTGTAGTGCAGGTCCAATACCAGGGGAATGTTGTGCGCACTGGGGGCTTGGTATGGGGGATGAGGATGTGGATGAAGGAATTAGGTGAGATGTGGGGGCAGCAGTTGAGGATTTCTGGTAATTTGCATCGGTAATATGACCTCTGAACAACCTGTTGTCGCACGATGACTGCCGTAACGGTGGCTGTTGGTTTCGTATTCCTGTAAGTGTTATTGGGGCGTTAGACTCGCTGGGCATTGGTGGTCGCTGCTGTTGGTGCAGTTGCTGATATTGATGTTGCTGATTTTGTGATTGATGTTGCTGCTGATGCAGCTGATGTTGTTGATGCTGATGGCGATGCAGATGACCAATATCAGATGCCTGTTGCATTGAACGATTCTGTGTGAAGCAAAAAACGAATGCTTAGATTAATCAAACTGTTAAGGAAATGATTTAACGGGATATATCTGCGGATTACTCTATTACTTTTGGATTACTGATATTCTAGTATTCAGAGACTTAATTTAAAATGAACATAAACCATATAAATTTATGAATTAATTCATTCTAGTCCTAGCAAAAGGAATGAAATCGTATTTAAAATTTGCTCTAATCCAGAAACTATTTGAATCAAGAGCGATGGTTTCAAAATGCTCATAGAGGAGTAAAAAAAATAATACTGTATGAGGCTAAAACCTGCAATGTAGCATAAAGGTGTATAATGCATAATGCTAGGCTTGTAATTGTAGGTTAAATTAGAAGTTAAAGTCGTATCAAGATCTTAAACTCATATCAAAAACTATGGTAATTTTTTAACGCAAAAATTTTCCAATTTTGGTGAATAAAAAAACTATTAGAAGTAAATTGGGTGAAATATTCGTACATGAAATTAATATATTCTATTTTTTTAACATTTTTTCATCGGGTGAACTGAGTTCAAATTCTTTCTTTGCCCATAATAACATGTATAATTATTAAACCGTTTATTTTAGACAAAAATCATTGAAACTCACAATATTGGTGGTGCAAGAATACGCGTATCGGTCTGGCGGCAACAGAGTGGCGGCCCGACACTCGGGCTGATGGTTGGGACCGGCGGGACCGGCACTGAGACCGGGCTTGGAGCTCGGGCCGAGCAGCTGAAGGCTGGACGAGTCCCAGCCCGAGGAGCACACGCCCTGCTTCAGAGGGATCAAGTCGGGGTCCATCTCGCTCTCCGGCTCCACCTGTTGCGACATGGATCAAGGATTTTTTCATTAAAAACTGTTTTCTAGTATATAATTCGAGGATTTTAATTGGGATTTTTATAATTTGTGGACGATAATGAGTTTCCAAAGGTTTCTCACTAGTTTATTGACATTGTTTTCAACAGAAAAATACCATAATATAAAATGTTGACAACTGAGGTTTTGATCAGGTATTCCAGTTGCTATGATAAATGGTATTCTCTACACTTGAAGAACGAAATATTTTATACAAATCCCATCTTCAAGAAAATTTTATTAGAAAAGATATCAGTGCCAAACCAAAATCAATGGCAATAAGTAAAATATATGTTGCACTCATCCAATCATTTGAATTTTCAGTTGAAGCAGAATTTGTTGCCTTATGTGCGTAAATGGAACAAAGATTTCCTGGTGCGGAAAGAAGTTGTTCATCACTAAATTGTTTGCACATCACGCTATGGTGTACCTGAATATCCCTGTCACTGCAGCTGCCGGTGTGTTGAGATTGCAGTTCATCACAATGTTGGTTAGTCCCACAAGTCCCCAAGGTGGACTCAAGCGACGGCAAGCGTGGGGAAGAACACACCAGCCGTCCTGAGTTATCATCTCCGTCCAGGTTAAGTTGATCTCCTCTCACTCCATGAGTTCTAACTCGGATAGTTATAAGAACTATCAATATGATAACAACTATTAGTAGTCCGACTCCAACTCCCAGTGCCACAGGTAGTAGAGCATGAAATCTGCGTTCTGATAGCTTCTGTTTGCTGGAGACTTCCGAGTCTGAAGATGGAGGGAGCAAACTACCCGTAGAACTGCCGGTGTTTGAAACTGAGCCCGCCTGGCCTGGGTTGTGAACCTCGGCTTCCGAAGGACCAACTGCAAGTATAATATAGTTTTTGCATTAAATTCAAAATACTTAATTATGCCTTCCAAATTATCATTACTGTTATAGTTTATTATTATTCATAATTATTGTTAGTCCTTATAAGCGTAATAAGTTTTTACTGAATTACCTCAATTACTGATTTGCCAGATCGGTTTTCCTCAGAATATGAAAAACTCGTACGATAGATAAAATTATTGTTCGATACAATTTTTAAAATGCTTAGGAAGCCAATAAAAATAGTTCATAGAAAATTTCGTTGAATGTCGAGGATGGCCGTGGCAATCAACGCCGGACACTTTTTTTTATATAAACGAATAGAAACATAAAAAAATCTCTTATCGCATTTCTTTATTACTCTAAATTGTTTCCCAAATTTTTTTTCATTTAGCTGTCTTAAGAACACGTTATTTAGTTTAATAATACCAATAATAAATTCACTAACCTCTTTTACAATTTATTTCCTTTTTTCAATGAATTAATTTAATTTGTGTTCAGGATGTAGGATTACTACAAATCGAATTTTTGGACATGATTCGTTTTCATTAGAGCTAGAGAATAACAATTTAGTTGCTGGCATCAAGCAACTCAATTACTTACAGGTGCCCGTGATGTCAACTAGAAAGATCCTCAGACTGCATTTCTATTTTATTAATCCCTTTTCAATCATCTATGGAGAATCCAATCACATAGAAGGGTTTTCACTCATAACTTTCTCTTTAAGGTTTATTGGCCTTCTACGTGCGTCACTTACATTTTCCTAAGGTGTGGAAATATTTTCATTCATGTTACTGTTTTATCAGCCCTGAAATACATTTTTTACTTCAACTTATCATCCAAATTGTACGACTTATAATATTCTTCACATATTTTTTTTAATTGAAGGGACCTGCATTATCCCACGAAATTTATTCGCCAGGTTTCCATCACATATTAACGTGATCACAACGCTCAAATATTCGCCATAATAACGTGATTCACAGAGCTCAGAAGTCAAACTTAACCAGCTTTTCGTCGACATAAGATTTCCAAAACTGAAAATAAAACTCAATTCAGATTACCTCGAAATTTGAATTCCAAGTGAACGCCACTCGAGACGCTGCATCAAAGAATGACGACTACCTTAAATTGCTTGCGTCAGCTGAGACTTTTGCTCCTAGGTCGCTCATCTTACCCTATTAAACATCGCCTCAAGTTGTGAAATGGCCATTGAAAATTCGACAATTTCCCGGTACTGATTCGGCTCTAATTTTCAATAGAGCAAAGTCATCAATTCTGCAGCATCAGCAACAGAGGCCGTTGGCGTCTGTTTAACGGCAACGCTGCCGCCTCTAAATCGTTTGAAAAATGCATTCCGCAGTGAAGCAAAAAGGTTAACACGGACCGAACTTCATGGATTAATGTGGGGTGAACCGCCATTAAATGGTCGCTATGAGACCCTGCCATATATTACTGCATCTTGCTTGAACTTTCACCTATGAAAGTTCAATCTTGAATAAACTAAAGATAGGGTAAACAACTTAAGTTGTAATTGATTGAATTTAAAGTGAAATGAGCAGTTTCTTGTTCAGAAAGTAAGTATGTTCGATACTTGCTAAAGTTTCTATCCCATAGGGCTTTACGGACGAATTTTGATGATCTTGATACTATTAAATACCTTTAAACATTTCTTTTAACTTTCAAAATATTTGTTTACCTAAAATCCAGCTAATGTAGCCAAATTTCAAGATTGTTTCAATTTAAACCGTACACACTTGTACACATCCATGTAAATTGGTTAACCATGCACTGCAACTGCAAGCCAGAACTTGTCACTGCCACCGCCGAATCTTATATTTTCTCAACACGTACACATTCAAGGCAATTAAATTTTAATATTAACAAAAATTTCATCGGTTGCCATAACCATTCGCTTTCAACCAACACGCCAGTTTTTTGGAAACTTTATGAAATTATTCTATATCTATTGTTACGTTGCAGTTAAATTGATACGTTATTAAATAAACAATGCTCATTGGCTTTTCTTTACCAATAATTAATTAGAAGAAAATTACTTTTTCTTTCGGATTACATGAAATGTAATCCGAAATATATTGAGCAATAAGGAAGTAACTACGATTGGAAGTAATTACGAGTGATGAAGATTGCGGATCGATTAACATTTATAATCTTTGTCCACCTACAAGTTTTTACTTCGAATATGCCCAATTAGTGATAGTTGCATAGACAAGGATTGATGTATAATTCTTACACTGAGAAAAATTAATCGTCAATATTGTCCAAATACTGACACACAATCTGCTCGAAGCACTGATTTGCCCTCTTATCGGGCCATACTAGGCCAGAGTGACCCACACATGAGCCAATAGTGCATCACTAAGTGGACAAAGCTGTGCTCATTGCGTCGAGTGTAGACCACTACGTGGACAAAGCTGTGCTCATTGCGTCGAGTGTAGACCACTAAGTGTAGACCACTAAGTGGACAAAGCTGTGCTCATTGCGTCGAGTGTAGACCACTTGTTTGTGGCAGCGTGGCGAACGGACGTTCGGTGTCGCGCGAGGTCCGCCGGTTACATTTAATTTTGCCGGTTCAACTGTGTTATTGCATTCTGTACTGAAGTGTCCCAGTGAATAGTCTGGAATTAAGTGAAGTCAGTAAAAAATTGAGTGCAAGTAACAATTGATTAAAAAACTGAGTATAGCCAATAAAAATTGAGTGCGGGTAACGATTGATTGAGAAAAAATTGAGTACGATTTAACTCTGTTGACTCATACTATACTGAAATGTTCCAGTGAATAGTCTGGAATTAAGTAAAGTATGTAAAAAGTGAGTGAGTCACCAATTGATTGTGAAACATGGCAGCCAAAGTCTGTGTTAGTAAACCTGCCGGAGAATGTCTGGAATGCAACAAATGCAATATTGGACAATTAGCACTAAGATGTATCACATGCAGACAATTTTGTCACTTCGAATGTTCACTACTTCCAGAAAACCAACTTGCAAGGTATTTAAAAACGAGAACATCATTCATATGTAGAAAATGCGTTTTGAACGAAGGGTGGGCGAAAGAAGCCATGGAGAGTGTGCAAACGGTTCAAGCGTCCGAGAGAAGAAGGCCTATCATGAATGGGTCTCCGTGTTCGACTAAGACGCGGCTACCCTCAACTCCCCTCACTCCCTCACCTCCCCTTACTCTCTCAACTCCCCTCACTCCCTCCCCCCCATCCCTCACTGCTGCCCGACATGAGCCGCCTACCCCAACCCTTGACCGTAGCGTTGCCCCTCCCCTCTCCTCTTTAAATGCATCGAACAAGAAGCATTTAACTGTTAAGAAACGCGTTTGCTGGAGATATCTTCAGGGCAAGTGCGATTAGGAGAATGAATAAATGAACTGTAACTATTCTCACCCTAAGATCTGTCAAAAATTTGCAACATTTGGCAGCAAAAACCAACGCGGATGCAAAGACGGGAGAGACTGTCAATATTACCATCCTTTCCTATGCTGGAATACTATTAAAAATGTAACTTGCAAACGTGATTCCTGTCGGTTTCACCACCTTAAACTCAACCTGCAGTTGAGTGGTAATGCCGAAGAGAGACGTGACTCTGATAGTTCCTTCTCGGAACACAGGATAGATTATACTGCCAAACCCAAAACATCAGAAAGAAATTACACGGTTAAAAAAAAATCAGTTCTGGGAAGGGCGAATCTATCGAAATCAAAGGTACAGAGCAGTTCCAAAAATTTCCGCACCGGCCAAAACATCCTGCCGGAGTGAAGAAGAACAAACAGGACTCGATATCAAGCGCAGCAATTTTTTGGCCTACAGAGGCAAGTAGATCGATTCAACAACAAATGCAGCAGCTGTTGACATTGCACGAACAGCAGAAATCACAGCAACAGCTGCGGAGCCAGAGACCCCTGGCAGTGCAGTGTGAAGGCCCGTTCACACTAGGGGCAACACACGAGAGTCAAGTGCATCAAAGCGCATGCAGAGGCGCTTAGCAGCCTCTGCATGCGCTTCTTGACCGATTGACGAGCTAACGATTGGCAGGGGCCATGCCTCATGCAACACAAGCGCGGCGCTTAGTAGATAGCTATTAAAGAATTGATATCACTTGTATGCTTAAATCGCAAATTAACTAAGAATTTAAATTAAATTAAATTAAAAATTTAAATCAAATTAAAAATCTAAATTAATTAATTAAAGAAATTCAATTCGTTCTATGGTTTCAACGTATTAATTTGTGACTTCTGATTTGTGATTCTAGATTCTACGAACTGACTGATGATGGAGCTGGTCTCCGAAACGTTTTCTATAAAGATATGAATTTTTGTGGACTATTCTTTGCTTTTAAATTCTTAGTTAGTAGATAGCTGTCTGTGGTCTAGTTGGAGTCACTCTCTAGTAGAGCGCCGAATTGATCTTTATAGAGAACACGAATGCCTATGAAGTGTTCGGTCAAAGGAGTACAAAAATCGAAATGCAAATGATGTAAGTTATTTTTACGTGACGTGTTTAGTTTATGTGATTTTAGCAACTCCTGACAATTTATGCATTACCGTTTAGCGATTTCAAAGGATGATATAATATCGGTACGAATATTGGAACTTTTTATTTAAGGATAGACTATATTTTTTATAAACTGTATCTTTTTGAATGTGCTAGTTCTCTAATTATGATGCATATGCTAAATTCTCGTTTACAACTGGCATAGTGCGAAGAATGACGGACCGCAACACACCCGAAAACTATGGCCCACAGCTCGAATTCGGTTACATCCATCCTCATTGACGTCTAGGTGGCAACTAATGTTCAAAGCGCGCGGTCTCAAACTACCGAGTACAAAAGTAGAGTGAACGGTCGTGCGCGGTGAGGCACTGCAGCAAACGACTCAAAGCGCATGTCGTTGCCACTAGTGTAAACGGGCCTTTACAGCAACTAAGGACGCAAGGAAGGGAAGAGTCTAGCATCATGATAGCTAATATAGAGGGACTCTTCCCAAGAAGAAAACGCCACAAGATCGGCGTACTTAAAGAAATTGTTGAGACAGAAGGAATAGTCATGCTTGCCTTAACCGAGTCACACCTAAGAGAAGATATCCAAGATGGAGAAATCGAGATAAAGGCTTTCAACATTACCGAGCAGATCGAAAAGAAGGGAGAAGAAAAGGAGGCGTTATAGTCTACCTCAGAAACTTCTTCGCGGCAAAAACAGTTCCCCTGCATTTAGGCTCCAATGGATATGTGGAAATGTTGAGGAGACCACACTGTCTGACCATCGACTAGTGGTGGTCAAGACAACAATTGAGAGGGGAACCCAGCCGACCTCGAGAGGGGCTAGCTAGACTAAATTTCCATCATCGAAGAACAGACTGGGAGGCCATTGGGAATAAACTCCTTGAAACTGACTGGACATCTGAACTTCTGGAATTAAACGCCGAAACAATGTACAACAAACTGTGCGAATTATTACTGCAGGTGTGCGAGCGTCACACGCCGGAAAAAACGACCCCCAAACGCCACATAATTCTGAGGGACAGACGGATCCTTATGAGAAAACGAGCGAGCTTGAACAACCAGATAACAGATGCCTCCGGGAATATAGAGAGGCAGAGGATGGAACATCTAAAGCAGTGGTTCCCAAACTTTTTCAGGCTGGCGCCCCCTTTGGCTCCATAATAAATTTCTAGCGCCCCCCACAGACACATTTAAACATACGCCTATTTCTTGAAATTTAGTACACTGCAATTTTAAAAGATAAAGGTTAAAACAAATATGTATTTCACAAATAGAGCCCATATTTAGTGAGCCAATATGTTTTTCAGCTGTTTTAACTGTTTCAGCACTGTAAACCTAGGACGTCTCGGGCAAATTTACGGCCGGACTCGTGGCCGGTCTCACGACCAATCTCCAAATTCAATTCTCAAGTAATATCTCTCTTACTAATGACCGGAGCTCTATGAAACTTGGAATATGTATTCATCAGAACCTAGCGGTGATGTTTGGATCGTGAAAATTATGTAAAATTTCACCTTCATTCGTGAGTTATATTGCGATACAGGCCGCCGAAATTCGCAGTGATCAAAAAATTTTTTCCAAGCTACTGAACAGATTTTAACGAAAATTTACATATACATTCCTAACTACCAAACGGTGATTTTTTCGCTATTAAAAAATTTTTCGATTCAACCTTCGTTTGCGAGTTTTTTTTTTTTTTTATTTCACCGTCATTCTTGATTTCACACTTCCTTATATTCGGCCCGTATCACCGGATAATTTGTCGCTTAAATTCGCGGCGATCAAGAAATTCCTTGAACGAAACAGAATTACTGAACAGATTTGAACGAAACTTTGTATATAAAACAGATTACTTACTGAACAGATTTGAACGAAACTTTGTATATAAAACAGATTACTTACTGAACAGATTTGAACGAAACTTTGTATATAGAAACCTAACCTCCCAACGGTGATGTTTAGCTCGTGACAATTTTTCTATTTTGTTTTCGTTCGCGAGTTATACAGATATAGGAGAAACGACCTGCTTTTCTACCGGTCGGTTTAACCAAGAGCCGTTTACGTATAGCCGTATAACTCGCAAAAAAAGGCAAACGAAATAACTTTTACGAGCTAAACATCACCGTTGCTGAGGTTAGGTATTTAAATACTAAGTTTCATTCAAATCTGCTTGGAAGAAATTTCTTGATTACTGCGAATTTAAGCACGTATTGCTGTTTAAATCAGGAATGGAAGTTAAATGAAAAAAAAAACTCGTGGACGAAGGTATAATCGAAGAAATTTTCACAAGCTAAACATTACCGTTCGGTAGTTAGGACTGTAAATTCAAAATTTCGTTCGAATCTGTTCAGTAGTTTGGAAAAAATACCTTAATCACTGAGAATTTCGGCCCGTATTGCCATATAAAAATGGCAAAAACATTGGAAGGCAGAATTAAAAAAAATTTCACGAGCTAAACATTACCGTTAGGTCCTAATGAATACGTATACCAAGTTTAATCGAGTTAATTTCATTATTTTTGGAGATATTTCTTGATCTTTGAATTTGGAAATAGGCCCTGAGACCGGCCGTTAATTTGTCCGAGTAGTAAGCCCAGGAGAGGTTAAAAAACAGATCTGGGTGAAGAAACCATCGCTGGGAGTCATGTGCTGCACGTGTTGTGTGCAAATCATCAAACAAACGTTCGAACTTCTGACATTGACTTCGGACTACCGCCCCCCTATCGCCCCCCTACTGCCCTCTTCTTCCTTACCGCCCCCCAAAATCTTTCCACCGCCCCCAGGGGGGCGATATCGCCCACTTTGGGAACCACTGATCTAAAGGTTAAAATTAAGGAAACTGAACGACAGTTGCAGGACTCACACGAGGCCGAGCAACAAATTGCAGAGGCGCAAGCGGTGTCTGCCATTCGAGAGAATCCCAAATATTCCTACAAATATGCCCGGTCAAAGGCCGAAATCAGAGCCTCAGTGGGGCCTCTGAAAAATAACGATGTCCTTGTTGGAGACGACAAGGGCATGTGCGAACTTCTGGGAGCTCAATTTGAAAAAGTATTCAGCGAACCCCGATACTCAAGGCAGGAGAACGAAATTGTAGTCATTCAAGAACTTCCAGGGGATCGGGAGCTGATGAGCATTGAGTTTGAAACGCCGGATCTAGAGAGGAGTATGCAAGAACTATCTACTTATTCGGCTCCCGGGCCGGATGGGGTCCCTGCAGTATTACTGAAAAGATGTGTCGGTGCACTAAAGATCCCTCTGACTTTGCTCTGGAAAACATCATTGAGAGAAGGAAATGTCCAAGTGACCTTAAATTAGGGCTAATTACCCCTATCTACAAAGGAGGCGCAAGAGACAAACCCCAAAATTACAGGCCGGTTACATTAACATTACACGTAATCAAAGTATTTGAGAAGGTTGTTGCCAGAAGGTTGGTGCAGTACATGGAAGACGCTGACCTTTTCAACAGAAGGCAACACGGTTTTAGACGAAATCGTTCCTGTTTGTCTCAGTTACTGGAGCATCACCACCAAATCCTGGCCATGCTGGAAGAGGGGCCCGGGGTGGACGTGGTGTATTTGGATTTCGCGAAAGCGTTTGACAAAGTCGACCATGGAGTGCTCTTCAGAAAATAAAGACTGCTGGGAGTCGGAGGTGAATTGCTGGCATGGATCCACAGCTTCCTAACAGAAAAACTACAAGCTGTAGTTGTTGGAGAATCGAGATCGAGCGTGGCTAGGGTGAAGAGTGGAGTACCACAGGGAACGGTACTCGGCCTGTCTCTTATACACATCTAGATGTGTATAAGAGACAGGAGTACTGCAGACCGCTGGACAAACTATCCAGCTGCAAGAATAGAATCAATGGTTTTAAAACGGATTAAATGGATTTCCACTGAGAACTGCAGACCGCTGGACAAACTGTCCAGCTGCAAGAATAGAATCAATGGTTTTAATACGGATTGCCAGATAGCTTAGTCCACGTACAAAACGGGTCCAAAAAAGGTAAATAATATTTACTATGAAATTTGTATGTTACGGTGCAATTAATTTTGTATTAATTTTAATTAGTTAATTTTTAACAATTCAGTTTTGATTTTTTGTTCTTGTAAAATAAAATGAGGAAGTATCATAGTCATAAATTTTTGCCGGCCTGCCCGGCCAATACAATCAAAAAACTAAATCACGGAATTTATCAGGAAAGAAAGACAATCTGGCAACCTTGTTTTCGATGCGACTAATTACAATAATCCTACAGCATCAGGAAGGAAATTTAATAAAAAAATTTAAAGCCTGTACATTTCCAGAGAAATAGTAATGAATGTGATTCTAAATTTTAATAAATGTGATTCATGCCTGCCCAGTAAATCTTTAAAATTTATTTAAAACTTTATGAATTCGCCTCACATCGCGGAAGCGTAGACGATTAAGATTGTGTGGTAGCTGTTTATCAAATGGCATGATTAAACGTCTGTTGATGTTGATCATCATGAATGATTCTTTCATTGATATATTTTCGGCTGATACAAATCTATCATCAAGTGCACAATAATCATTTTAAAAAGTTGATAATCAACTTAAAAAGTTTATTATACCAGTAAGCCAGTAAATTTTTGTTTCATGCAGCCACAATCAACAACCTGGATTGCTGGCCCAACCCCTCGAGTCCAAAAATACCGATTACTGAGTATCACAAAACTGACAATTGACTCTCCAAGTTGACTTGCTCAGACCATTTTTGTTATATCAAGTCAATTAAATATTACTCAAGTGACTGACCAGGAACTCGGGCGAGGCTGCGGTGAGGTTGACGATGGGGGAGTTAGGCAGGCCGGTGGAGGCCCTGAGGTGGAAGGCTGCTTCTGAACCCCCGTCCTCGCCCGCCATGCACACGATGCGCAGCGTCGTGCGCATACCGCGCGCAACCGTGCAGTTAGACGGCGATTCTGGCTTCCCTGCACTCAAAAAACCGCGAAATTTTATGGTTTTAAAACGGATTAAATGGATTTCCACTGAGTACTGCAGACCGCTGGATAAACTATCCAGCAGGAAGAATAGAATCAATGGTTTTTAAACGGATTGCCAGATGGCCTAGTCCGCGTACAAAACAGGTCCAAAAAAGGTAGATAATATTTACTAAGAAATTTGTATGTTACGGTGCAATTAATTTTGTATTAATTTTAATTAATTAATTTTCAACAATTCAATTTTGATTTCTTGTTCATGTAAAATAAAATGAGGAAGTATCGTCGTCATAAATTTTTGACAGCCTGCCCAGCCAACACAATTAAAAAACTAAATCACGGAATTTATCCGGAAAGGAAGACCATCTGGCAACCCTGTTTTCAATACGGAGGAGTTACGACTAATTACAATAATCCTACAGCTGCAAGAAGGAAATTGAATAGAAAATTTTACAGCCTGTACATTTTCAGAGAAATAGTAATGAATGTGATTCTAGATTTTAATGAATGTGATTCATGTCTGCCCAATAAATCTTTAAAATTTATTTAAAACTTTATGAATTCACGTCACATCGCGGAAGCGTAGAGGATTAAGCTTGTGTGGTTGCTGTTATCAAATGGCATGATTATCCGTCTGTTGATGCTGATGTTGAGCATCATGAATGATTATTTCATTGTTATATTTCCAGTTGATACAAATCTATCATCAAGTGCACAAAAATCATTTTAAAAAATTGATAATCAACCTAAAAATTTTATAATCAACCTAAAAAGTTGGTAATCAACTTAAAAATTTTATAATCAACCTAAAAAGTTGGTAATCAACTTAAAAATTGATTATATAATCAACTCAAAAAGTTGATTATGCCAGAAAGCCTGTAATTTGATGTTTCATGCAGCGGCCTTCGACAACTAGGATTGCTGGCCTAAGCCCTCGAGTCCAATAAAACCGATTATTGAGCATCACAAAACTGACAATTGAGTAACCTAGTTGACTTGCTCAGCTCATTTTTGTTATATCAAGCCAATTAAATATTACTCAAGCGACTGACCAGGAACTCCGGCGAGGCTGCGGTGAGGTTGACGACGGGGGAGTTAGGCAGGCCGGTGGAGGCCCTGAGGTGGAAGGCTGCTTCTGAACCCCCGTCCTCGCCCGCCGTGCACACGATGCGCAGCGTCGTGCGCATACCGCGCGCAACCGTGCAGTTAGACGGCGATTCTGGCTTCCCTGCACTCAAAAAACCGCGAAATTTTCTAATAACGAGGCAAATTGTGTGCCATTAGAGTGTGAATTTGTGAGAATAGCAGGCAAATGCACGTGAAAATGGAACTTGGGAGCGCCAAACTTTGGTAGTATTGGGCAACAGGAATGCGATGCCAAATCTAGTCGACAATTTGTTAGTATAATTTGCATCGAAATAATCTGATAGTATAAATCGATTTCATTCACAATGAAATATAAAAATGCGAGCGCCTATTTTTTGAAAAAGGGTAGCACCGAATCTTGATCAATTGAATTGTTCAGCGCTGAATAAAATAATTTTCAAATCAAATCAATATTATAGTATTACTCATTCTGTAAACCTATTTCTAAAGGACCAGTTCTTCACGAAATTTTGCTGGATTCATTCCTTACATTTTTCATTGTTTGTTTATACAAACTCACACTGAATATAAATTCTTGCCGAGGGAGACAAATAAGATTGATCGGGTTCAACTGGTTCAATGACCACGATCAACTGGAGGAATGGATACTAGCAGCTTTGAAATTTAATGTCAAACTAATATCAAGTAATATTAACAGTACAAAAACTGAATAACTAAGTAATAATAATAACTAAATTAATACTACAATTATTTTATCATTGGTCAGGAAGGCAAAATATTTAAAGAAATACGAAATGAGTCACACAGACTATTGAAAATCTCGAATTGTATGCTTCCATTCCGTGAAGTCCTATGGAAAAGTGGCAAGAAAATACGTGTGTATTCGGATACATCGTCTTTTTGCAGAACGAATGAAAGGTATCAATTTCACAGAACATAAACGATTCTTCTCGGAAATAACTTCGTTTTTAAATGCATTGTAGTAACGTTGAGTGAGTGCGCAGTATATTCAGTTTTATTAATTCAACAAAGCGATGTTACGGCAATTCCTTCGCTATTTATGCTCCCGATGTGAAAGGTTTACGAGTGAATACTGAGCAGTTTTAATTAAACAGAGCTCGGAGAATTAAATGCATTACAAGTTTCTAGATATTGATAGTCAATCTGTGTATACATCGCATCGGCGCTGTAAACTGAAGAATGTAGCAGAGAAATTTGTATTCAACGTTAAATATTTGTTAGTCAATTTGTTGATATCATGTTTATAGAAGAAGTTTTCCATCACGCAATACAGTTTCAGGATTAATATTTAACAAATTTTACACCTATTTTCTATCTATTAATATAAACTGAAAAACCTTCTAAGTCGTATTTTATGACGGATATTACAAGGAAAACACGGATGCTTGATGTCAAATAATTTTTCATGGCGAATTCTGAGTCAAATAATGAAAAGCAAATAACTTTTGTTGTCTTCGCATTAGCACACGTGAACTATTTTGTCTTTTGAAGTGAATAAAAGTGAATAATGAATAATCATCGAGTTCCTCAGTCGCATTCTATTAATTCACGATTCTCCACGACACGTTCTGCAATGCAGTTCTCGATGAGTTCTCGGTCTCTCTCTCTCGACAGACGAACAGAGTATATGAATATCAGTACATTTTTCGGCTTACGAATAATATGACGTTTTCATCCGTTAGAAATTGATTAAAGTAAACGCTTTTGCTTCATATATTGGCTGTATTATGAATGGACACTGAATGCCTCGCGTAGGTACACCAAAGAAACTATGTATTTTATTGTAATTCGTGCACGCATTCATTTGCGGTGTGCTAGCTATTGCGGTGGCTATTATTAGTTATATTTATATGATGATAGTGCAACAAATTTATCCAGTAAGACAGATAAATAAATGTTACCTATGATGCTTAGATGCCATGTTTATTTTTTAAACTCATGTTGTTCATTATCATGTGCGGTAAGACTAAATTTTATTCTGATTTTTCATGCACATTGTTTGTTATCCTCCGAATAAATCACATTGCAGTGATTTTGTTACAATAAATAAAGAAAAATGTAGACAAAATATGAACATTTTCAAACTTTGTTCTATTTTCCATTCAATGAGAGGACAGTATTTGATTTACAAGTAAATGTTTACAATTATGGTTTCCCATAACGTATCGAAAATGTGACCATAAAATTATGTTGATGAAGATTGCTATTTGTCTATTGAAGGTATAAGCAACGAAGTCGTAATTGTGATTTTTCAAGCATCGATCTATAAAGAATGTAAACACTCAGGAGACTTGATATATTTAGAAAACATTTCTGCCCGTCAACTCTGATTTGAGGAGCTGCTGCCAAGCTAACTCAACCCATGCATGATTTTCTACACAAGTACAATTGTGAACTAAATTCAAAAGAAAAATTTTCTTTGAAGTCAATGGGATCATCTAACGTGTGGGCGTAAATTAAAAAATTTAATAAGTTGCTAATGCACGATAAGATGTATTTGCATTACAAGTCATGGTGGTCTTTCTTTCAGCAAATGATTTCGTTCATCCAACAAGTACGACGATTTTCAACCAACAATAAGTGCCTTAGCATATACGTTAAATATTGCAGTATTATATTCTTGAATATTGAAATAGTATTTGCAATAATCTTTCTTTGCTACTAAAGATTAGTTTCGTACACGAGATGAAAATCAATACAGAGAGATCTGATCGCAAGGAAAAATGCCTCTTAATTGTACCTTGACAAGCGGGAAATATATTTTTTACAAAAAATAATTGACTATGGTTACGATTTGCATCATAAATGATAAATCTACGAAATTACCCAAAATACTGCCACATTTTTCCGTGCTACAAAGCATATATCGAAATTGAATACAGGGGCTCAGCAACCGAACCAATGACACACAGTCCCTCTCACCTGCCGGCACATTATTAAAGAGGCAAACATTCCCACTCACCGGCCGGCACATTATTCTATAGGCAATCATCCCACTCACCGGCCGGCACAATGTGGTAGAGACAAACATCCCCACTCACCGGCCGGCACAATGTGGTAGAGACAAACATCCCCACTCACCGGCCGACGCAATGTGGTAGAGGCAAGGCTCCCACTCACAGGCCGGCACAATGTGTTAGAGGCAAACATTCCACTCACCGGCCGGCACAATGTGGTAGAGGCAAGGCTCCCACTCACCGACCGGCACAATGTGGTAGAGGCAAACATCCCACTAACCGGCCGGCACAATGTGGTAGAGGCAAACATCCCACTCACCGGCCGGCACAATGTGGTA